TTCTTTTTCCTATTTTTATTTTACTTAGAAATAAACAACATAAAATAAATTTTAATAAAATGAATGAGATAGCATGTTTACTTTAACAGTAACTTTATTACCAATGCTATTAAAACGACGTTTATTGATAATAATATAACAATAAACTTCTTTAATTGTTTTATCATATCTATAGTTTTTTGATTTTGGGTGAAAGTGATATTCTTGATTCTTGCCTCTACTTGGTTAATCTCTTCTTTAAGTTCATCTACTTTCTTACATTTTTCGTCACCAGAATTTTGGGTAATCATACTACTCTGACGATCAGTCTTTAATGTCTCACTATTATTACTTTCAATAGAAGAAGTAAGAAGCTCTTCTTTTACTTGTTTTCCATCATCAATACATTCATTTTGTTCTTTTAACAATGTTTTAATATGATATTCATCTTCATAATCTCCAAGTTCTTTGTCAGGATTGAGCTTTGAATTATTGAAATCAACATACTTCCATCCAAGAAATGAATCTTTAACAAAATATTTTGGAATATGAACTGTTCCTTCTGCCTCATGTTTTCTAACTTCTTCTCTTTGAGCTTCTTCAAGGATACATTTTTCATCAGTAGCAGTTATTTGGTCTCCTTTATAAATAGCGTTAGTAACTTTGATCCATAATTTATCACTTTCCATTTTACCTTGTTGATTCATATCAATGGTATATCTTGGTACACTCTTTCCCTTAATGTCATCAATCTTTAATAAACTTTTCTTTACTTTGTCTTTACCACAATAAAATAGTTCTTTATAATAATTTCCCCATATTTTATAAACTTCCTCCCCATTTTTAGTTATCTTAGCATCTACTGTTTGATACTTATCAGATGAGAATGTACCTCGAAGATTAAAAACTACTTCAGCTTTATACCCAGATTCTTTACATTCAAATACAGATTTACCTGCAATTTCCATTAACATTGGACCAACAAAAAATCCACTAGCAAGTGCCTCAGGGAATGTCATAGTATAATGTTCATTAAAATTTAATAAATAAATATCAATTTTACCTCCAAGAATAATTGAAGCACTCAGTCCATTAAATTTAGTTGAGAACTCAATATATCCATTTCCCATCCATCCTTGTTGTCTATTTGTTGCATAAAATGCAGATACTGGAGGATGGTGACTGACTTGTTCTCCAAGTAAATAAGATCTACTTCCATCTTCATGTTTCCACATAGTTCTAAATGTCTCTCCAAGAATTGGGTTATAAGGTTTTTTAATTCCAGTAGGCATTAAATAAAAACCACTTAACAACCATTTAACTAAACCAAGCATTCTTAGTCCAGGATCTGGTTCTTCACTTATTGGTTTGAAATATTGAATATGAGCAAAATAGTCAGTTGTTTTAACTAAGAATGAACGTGGTTCAAGAATATGTGATGGAAAAGTTATTCTACTCAAGTCCATTCCTGGTCTAACTTGTTTCAATAATTCCCAAATAATTGACTTACCTTCTTCAGTAGCATCAAAAAATTCTTTTAAATCATTTTGTGCTAACACATAATGAGATAATGATTGTTGAAGAGAACTATTAATAACACCTTTTTCTTCTTTGAGTGTTTCTTCTTTTTTTTGTTTTTTTGTTTCTTTTATTTCATGAACATGTTGAATTTGTTCTATTTGTTTTGTCTTTAATGTATTTATTTGTGATAAACTATTTGATGGAGATAATGGTTTAACTTTTTTAATGTCTTCTTCATTGTATGAGTGTACGTTTATATAGGAAGTTGACTTAGTCATCTCAAATGTTTTAGGAGGTAAACTTGGTTTAATTTTTGAAGAAGAATCAAATTGTTCTCTAACAGTACTAGTTGGTTGAGTCTTATATTTTGTTATAGCTAAAGAAATAGCATTTTCTATTTGAGTAAACCATTCTTTACCTTTAATAACATTTTCATTTCTAAAGACAAGGAATAAGTCATTATGTTTAGACAATGTTTCTCCATTAAGTCCATGTTTATAACAAAGTGTTTTTTTAAGTGCTTCAATTTTAAAACAAAAACCTGGCATTTTAGATTCTCTTACATGGATAGAACATTCACAAATATTTACTATAGCATAATATTCCATTTTATTCATTTTCTATTCACCGTTATTAATCACTTTTTTTATCTTAGAAAAATTCCTCACCAAAAAAAAAAATTTGAAGGAATATTAGTAGATGAGTTTACAAACTTCTTCTGACTCAAAAATTAATAAATAAGGGGTTGTGACAATGACATAAAATTCATACCATTGTTTGGTTAACTCTAAATTTATAAGACTTCTTTTGATGTGTCATAAAAATATCAACAAACCATTCCTGAGAAGTAATGTTCCACGAATTGTTGATCTACTAATCAAATCATCATGAATAGCCACAATCTGTGTTAATGGCATTTTCTTTTTAATTGAAGGTTCTAATGCCATAAATGATAAATAAGGGTGTTGGTATTGAAGACTCATTTTGAATGGATTATTCAGTTATAACAACTTTGTCCCAAAAAACAAAAGAAATTCTTTTTTTTAGTCAAAGCTATTCTATAAGTAATAATAAGTGATATATAACAAGGATTATCCAAAAATAAAAAGAAATTTGTTGTTGAATTTGGTTAATAAAAAGGAAATTTAATCTCATCATTAAGGTGTAAACTATTTTAAAGAAATATCTAAGAATATCTATTCTGTCTTAACATACCAAGTTATTGTCAATATCAACTTAAAACTTTAAAAACACAAGAAAATAAATGGAAAAGTAAGTAATTGTCTACAAAGAAATATAATTTAAAGACTAAAAGTTACAATAAGACTAAAAAGTTTCCAAGTTATATTGAGTCATTAATGAATTAGTAAAACAAAAACGAAATAATGATAAAAAAAAATAAACAAAATGAACAAAATGAACAAAATGTTCTCTGATTATAAAAAGAAAAATCTATCAAGGAAGATTAACTAAATAACCAAATTTTTCTAAGAAAAAAAGCTTTTCAATTATCAAAGTAATAATCTTATCATTACATTAAGATATGAAAATTATAAATAAACACAAAAGAATATCCAATTTTATCAAATTATTGAAAATAATTTAAATTAATTTCTTCTTTTATAAAAAAAAGAATTACATAAACTTTAAGAAATGTCATTAAGTTTAAGAATAAAATAAGTTCTTATGATTTGATAGGAAATTGTTATTAAATAAAATAAATCAAGAATTTCTAATTTATTACAAAATAGTAATATTATTCTACCAAAACAATTAATGACTTTCATCCAATAAAATATAATTTTTTAGCTCTTCTACTGAACTAACAACCATTTTACTAATAGCAGTAATTTTTGGTTTAATTAAATCATGACCTTCTCCATAAACAGTTCCAATACTATCAACTCCCGAATTTTTTGCCATAATTAATCCATAAGACAAATCATCAATAACAACAATATCTTTTTTTTGAAGATGGAATTTTTGTAGAATATCTTCTATTGGGAAAGTAAATGGTTTACAATATTCAGGATGTTTTGAATCATATCCATAAATTGAATCAGGTATGATTTTTCCTTCATTATAACTTTGATAAAAATCTTCAATCACTTGTTTTAATCCATGTGAACATATACAAATAATACCTCCTCTTCTTTTAAACTCTTCAAGAAATTCCCAAAATCCATTAAACATTATTGGTTTATATTTCTTATAACATTCTCGCCACTCAAAAGAAATCTTTTCTAATTCTTCATCCGTTAATTTTAGAATATCAATGAGTAACTGCATTGTGGTATGATCCCATAACGCTTTATACCATTCTTCTAAACTAATTATTTGATCTTCCGGTCGATATTTTTTCATAAACTGTTGGTATGATAAATAATGAACTTTGGGTGTGCTATTTACAGTAGTATCATCATGGTCAAGGACGATGCACTTATAACGTAACGACATAGACTATTTTTGGGTTAATTATTTTTTATATTTTTTAATGTTTTTTATTATTTTTTTGTTTTTTTAATGTAAATATATTTAATGAATAAATTTATATAATTAAATGTTTTTTGTTTTTTTATTGAATAGTTTTTCATTTAAGTAAACTAATTAAAAATATTAAGTAAAAATAAAATTAGTAAAAACAATAATTCTTGAAATTAAAAGATTAAATAATAAATATACATTTAAGATTTTAAACAAATTGTGATTTATTATCTATAAAAATAATGTCATTAATGCTTAACAAAAACTAGTCAATTGGTATTATCTGATTGATGAGTATGAAGACTGTCATATAAAAATTAACCAAATTATTTTATATTTCACTTTTTGCTTTTTTAATAACAAAAAAAAATAATTTTAAGATAGATGTTTTTAACTATTTTCTAAAAATATTGTTTTTTTATAAAAGAGTATTTTCGTAATTAAAGATATTATTTATATCTTTTTATAATCATTTGTTAATTATTTCAATTATTTTTTTTTATAACAATATTATAATAAAATTAAATTTAAAGACTTTATGACTCCATCCTTAATATATTTATTTGTATGTTATTATAGTAATGCTGCTATTGATAAATATGTTTTGAACAAAAATGTTTTGTATGAATTTGAAACAATCAATAAAGTTTTAAGGTTCATATTTCAAAAAAAAATAAAAATAATAAAAAAATGAAAAATAAAAATTCATTATTGAGACAACACATGAATAGTCAACAATGCAACGAAATTCTTAATAACCAAATTCAAACAATTGAACAATTAGTTAATAATAATTTTGAAGAAAAACAACGTGAGCTTGAAATAAAAAAACAAAAAGAAGATGAATATTTACATAGTGAAGAATATCATAAGAAACAACAAGAAATCAATGAAAAAAAAGAAAAGATACAAATATATGATGAGTTAATAAATAAAAAGAACGAGATTGAAAAAGAAAAAGAAATTTTAGATGAAAAGAAAGTCATACTAAAGTCAATGAAATTACTAGAAAAAATGTTGCAAATAAGTCATAATGTTGAATCACAATTATCACTTGTTAGTTCAAATTCACCCACTTCAAAAATAATGAATGATTTATTAATGTCATTAAAAGAATATCAAGAAATGATAACCAATGAAACAATTGAAATTCCTAAACAAATGAACTCTTTGTATTCACAGTTTATTCTTTCTTTTCAATATTATATTAATCAGTCAAACTCTATTATATCAAATAGATTAAAAAATTACTTAAAACCAAAAAAATTCCCATTTGTCAAAATAGAAAAACAAGAGGAATGGGAAAATATTAAAAGGGATTATCAATTTTTAAAAAATATTCATATATTACAACCAGAATTAAATGATGTTTCAATTAATGCATTAATGGAAAATGCAGTCTTAAAAGTTCAACATTTGTTTCAAAGAGAAGATAGTAAATTATATCAACCAACATCTTTAGATTTAGTTCTTCCTTATATTATTGAAGTTATTGAAAATGCTGAACAACAATTAACTGATAATAATATTGAATTTAATTCATTAATGACACCATTTATTCCAATTCTTAGATTTAGAATATTAAAAGACATCAAACAATTACCTGGCCTTTATGTTTTAATGTTACTTGGTTATTTGTTTAAATATATTGAAAAATATCCCTCATTATTATCATTACTTAAAGAAAAGGATATTTGTGATAATATTAATATTTCACTAAAAGAAAGTGCAGATTTAAAAGTGGAATATATCTCAAAAATGGGTAATGATTTATGGCCAATTCCTCTACATAGAGGAAGTGGTGAATTTATGATGATGTTGAATGAGGCAGTAAGCTTTTGTTTAAAAGCAGGAACATTCGCAAATGAACTAATTGTTAGTTATGTATTTGAAATGGTTATAAAATTTGAAGAATATATGAAAAAAATAGAAATGACAGGATTAAAAGAAGTTTGTGGTCTTGCAAACTCATGGAAATTATTTGCTGAAGCGTTAAAGAAAAATACTGAACGTATGAAAGAAAAGAATGTCAATTGTTCTATTTTATTGTCCAGAATAGATGAATATGAAAAAGAAGCAAAAAGTGCAGTTTTAGTAATTGTTGAAGATATTGATCGATTATTAGAAGAAGAGCATTATTCAACATTTAATGAAGCAGTTGAAAGCTCAATTTATTTACGAAAAAGAAAAGATGAAATTCAGTTATACTTACATCCATCATTATACAATTACTTCACAGAAAAAATAAATGAATAATTATTATTCATTATTGGTAGTTTAAAAAATACGTTTCAAATATAGTTTTTTATATCTTCAAACAAATTTAGAAGAGAGATAAATTAAATAAAGAAAAAATCCAAAATACTCATTTTTTTGGAATCTGCATTAAAGATCAACAATTTCTCATTTGATTTGAATTCCTAAATTTGTTTCATATTTTCCAAAAATAATAAAAGAGGAGCATTTTATTATTTTTTGTTGAAGGGAAAATTATGAAACAACGCGTGGAATAGTTTAGAAGCAGTTTTGTGTTTTTTTCAAACACTTTTCCTCTTTAAAAATACGTTTTGATATAAATAACTCAGCAAATAAACAGAAAGAACGAAAAGATGGAAGTTATCCTTTGAACTGAAGTGCACTTTTAAACAGTAAGGAATTATATAAAAATATTAAACAAAGACTCAGAGTAGAAAAAAAGTACACTTCTAATGATCATTATTTCTAGTTAATAATTGACGCAGAGAGAAGAATATTTCCACACATAAAATGGAAACTAAAGTAAAAGTATTTTAAAACACACAATTCAAATCACTCTATCTAGTTAGAAAATAAAAATGTTTCTTTAAATTAAACAGAAAATCAGGATAAAAAAAATTCTAAACTTCTATTGAAATAAAATTAGAAGGAATAAGACTATTTAAGGTAAGAACTATTATTCCCTTAGTCACTTCGAATGCAATCATTAAGTGTTTTTAGACCTTCTCATCCAAGACTTTATACTGTTATTGGAGAGTCAACAATTCTTAATTCTGTTGAAAGTTCTGATGGTATTAAAAATAGAAATACTAGAGAATGGGGAGATTTGATGACAACTTATGTTATGCTAAAATATAGAAAATGGCAAATAAAAGATAGAAGAACTATGTCATTACATTCTTTTCATCAAAGATGTTCAGAAGAATTATTTAATGATTTAGGAATTAATAAAACTCCTACTCAAATTAGAGATAAAGTAAATAATACTCGTTCATCGTATCATGCCTTAATTAAACAATTACAAAAAGAGTCTTTTAAATGGACTCAAGAGAAACATTACAGTCTTTCAAAACCAGTATTTGATTTTATGTCAATCTTTTTTGAAAGTAATAATACAATAACGTTAGATCAAATTAATCAAAAAATTGTTGAAGTAATTCAACAAAATAAGTCTTAAAATATTTTTACAATTAAAACCCAGTTATTTAGATGTATACTGTATTATTTTATTTAATATCTTCTTTTATTTTGTTGGTTCTTTAGACGTTAATTAAAAAAAAAGGCAAAAAATTCAAATTTTATTTCAGATTTAGAAAAGAAATATTTCTTTAATTTTTTTTATTCTGAAATAAATGATTTTTTTATTGTATTTTATAAGTTATTTCAAGTTTTAGAAGTATTTTAACAATAACCAAGATTAAAAAACCATCTTATTCAACAATAATTAAACAAAACTTGTTTCAACAAAAATGGACTGTACCTAAAAAAACTGACTTACTTTTTATTATAATAAAATGTTGAACATTTAAATAAATAACATTAAAAATTATTTTTTTTTTTCATTACAACTCTTTTCTTATGTTTTAGACATTTCCTTTTTTTTCATGAAAACTTTAAATAGAACAAAATATATTTCTTTAATGAACAATTATGGTTTGTATCAACTATCTCATTTCTATCTTAACAAAAATATTTTCTAATTAAAATAGCTCTTTCTCTTAAAGGTGGAAATATTTGTGAAGTTAAAATAAAAGATAAAAATGTGTTATGTATTAATACAATCGCATTAGTCCCTTCAAAAATAGGAACAAATTCTATCATAATTCATATGACTACAAGCTCAGGTAAATCTGCTTTTATTTGTAATTTAAATGAACAATCTAATATGTATCAAATACAAACAAAACTAGAATTCCTTGAAAATGAAACTGTTTCTTTTGAGGCTATTGGTACAGGAGAAGTTCATCTGAGTGGTGTACTATTTTTCTTTGATTCAAAAAAGGAGAATTGATTTATTTATTACTTTCTTTTAATACCTTTTTCATTTCACTTTTCTCTTTTTTTTAATCATCATTTTTTGAAACATACCCAAAAACCCCTTTTTCCTTAATAAAAATTAATAATAAAAGAAAAATAAAAAAGTTATTAATAAAAACCCTAAAATTTCAAGAAAAAGAGAAAAATAATAAAGAAAAATTGAAAATGAAAAAAGAATATTAGATTGAAGATTTGATAATGAACGAAGAGGTTGAGTATATATATGACGTAGTCGAATTAGAAGATAATGAAATTCAGATACTAGAATATAGACCTGGATGCCAAGAGTTTGGAGGGTTTTGTAATAAAAATGAATGGATGTATTTAATTAATGATAATATTATGTTATTATATTCAATACAAGATAATGTCATTATTGCTCAAAAAACATTTACTAGTAATATTGTTTGTGTCGAATCTTTCAATAAATATCTTTTCATTGGTTTAGAAGCAGACACAAAATTAATAGTAATCAATTGTGAAACTAGTGGAACAATCAATATCGAACTTTTTCGTCCACCTTTAAAGTTATCAAATATTGGATTATATCCTCAAGGTCTTCAATTTTTAGTACTTAGTGAGCCATTCAAAATTGATGGGGTTGTTCTTTCATTACCTGAGGGGTCTTCTCAATGCATATCTTTATCTTTGCCAACATTTCAAGGAGAGACATTGCTGCCAGACGAAAAAGCAATTGTAAGAAAAAGTATTCGATTATCTAAAACACCAGTAAAAGCACCTCATGTAAGAACATCACTTACTGGAGAAAAACCTTATAATATGAATTTTATAATTTTACCAGAAGATGTTCATGTTTTTAGATTAGATGGTAAAGTTATTACAATTGGAACTAAAAATGGATTCTTATTACAATATCGGTGGGATAAAAATATTGAGCTTGTAAGTTCACAATTTATTGTTCCACAGTGCAGGAGTATTGTAGGATGTAGTATACACAAAGATTTTTGTGTTTGTGCATCAATGAAAAGAGACAAAGATTCATGGGGAACAGTATTTCTTACATATTATATTTTCACTGAAGATGATATTAGTGCATATAAATGTTATGAGTATGTTGGATATGAATTTGTATCTATTGATTGTGTTAAAGATGAAAAAGGTACAGTATATTTTCGTACAATTTTATTAAATCTAAAATTTGGTAGTTATGAAACAATACTTTATGACCTTCAATTTAATTTATTCTCTCAAGTATGTTCTAGTGTTCTAGGAGATAGTATTATTATTAATTCTCGGTATGAACCATTTTCTGAATGTCCTTTTAATGCTTCCTTTTTAAATACTATTGGAGTAAAAGAAAATTTATTTTTACCTAAAACAACTTGTATTTTATCAAGAAATCCAGAAACTAATAAATATCGAGTTCAAAGGTTATTATCAACATGTAAAATATTAGATGAATTTAGATTTTATCTCACTGAAGGTTTACCGTATTTCTTGTTATATAAAGAAGTACCAAAAGAAATTCTTGAAAAATATAGAGATTTTCCAAAAAAATTAAGAATTAAACGTCTTTTAAATAATCAATATGATGAGAAAACATTATTTACTGAAGAAATAGCAATGACTTTTGAATTTAATGTTTTTGATGCAACATTAGACTTAATTGAACAAGACAAACAAATATTAAATTCTGATAAACAATTTATTGATCAAAATAAATTATCGTTAATGAAAACTATTATTTTTAATCATTCTATTAATTATATGTCATTTGTCCATACTCTTTTTGAAAAAGACTCTATCAGGACTGTAAGAAAAGAAGAAATTGATTTTGCTTATCGTCGGTTAGAAAAAATTCAAGACTTTTTTCAATTATTAGAAATGGACTACTCACAACTGAATAGAAATATTGCTATTTTATTTCTGTTACAACAATTTTATCCATTTTTTGATAATTTTCTTGATGCAAAACTATTACAAGTTGGTAGAATTATGAACTACATTTGTAATCATATTAATTATCAAACTGACAATGATTTTTGCTGTCTTATTCAAGATGGGTTTAAATTTGGAAATGAAACACTACTTGCTTGTAAACTTCGTTATATTATTGAATTAGACGAAATTAGAAATGATTTTGACCCTAAAGCCTTCTTTCCATTTTTACGAGTTGCTGTTGATGAAAGAGTACATCTTCTTGGTGGCTCATTTTATTGTTTTGATTTTTTACGTGACCAAAATGATAATGGATATGCATTAGAACTCTTTAAGTTGTTTGTCAAATACAAATGTTTCATTAAAGTAACTTATAGGTCAAAACTCCCAAATTGGATTCATAACTTTATTGAAGAATTAGTAAAGACAAATATTCTTTCAAAAGAGTTAGCATATGAATATATTAATTATTTAACTGAAATGGTACAAAAAGCTCGTGCTCTGGTAGGTGATTTGGCTAATCCATTGGATGTAAAAAATGATGATATTTTTGGTATTAATGATGAAAAACAATAAATAAAATGTAACTTTCGATTTCTTTCATTCATTTTCTTTAATGGTTTTCTTAGATTAAATTTCTAGATACTATTTTCCTTTTATTTAATTCCTATTATTTTAAAAATTATTATCCAGTTGCATCGTACAGGGTTAATTCTTATATCTGACAAAGAAAATATATTAAGCATAAATATTTAATTTACTAAATAATTCAAATCCATTCATTAAAATACATTATGGCACAGTTTACAGTTTTTCTCAAACAACTATACATTTATCGTCAAAACTAAATCAGAATTATGAAAATATAAAACAATTATACTGTATAAAATAAATATATTGGAGAAATATCTATTTTAATTTGAGAACAAAATAATAAAATAATAAAACTAATTATTTTTACCTATCTTTGATTGAAAAAATTTAATTTAATTTTCTAATCACATTTATATTTGCGTTATTTGTAATATTTTAACTTGAAAAATAAACTGTTCACAACTACACTCTTCCTTATATCCAGTAATAATATCTACTTATATTTTCATGACATTTTATAACAAAAAATTACTGAAAAATATCCTAAAACAAAAAAAAGGTTTAAGTAAGTTCCATTTTGTCTTATTCATTACTATTTAATTATTTGTTGGTTAGTTTTTGATATGCTTTGGTTTCAAGTTGTTTTTATTAGTGTCACTTA